TTTTTCTAGAGACCCACAAATGGTCTTTTCGTGTAACTTCACGTTTCTGGCTCAAGAATCTAGTACTCTGCAGCCTGTCTGCCTGGTAGGAGCTCACTGTAACCAGATCCCTTCACAACATCAAACACCTGCTGACAAGCTACTTTCGAATTGATTGCCAGTGCCCCTGAGAAGGAACTCCAGTGGTGCAACTAAAACTTTTAAAATGTCTTTTTAGAAAGTGCGTGAACAGCTGGAGACATCGACTAGCATTCTCTTCTTTATGTCCTTTTAGATGAAAAGCTTTTCTTTTAGGAAACTGATTTGAGCCAGGAACTGGAATTATTTTGTACATATCTTTCCTCACCAATAGTTTACCTCTTATTTATTACAGGATTTCTTCAAGCAAGAATTAACTTTCATTAGCACATTCATTGAAAGTGTTCAAAATAAACCAGTTTTCTCTTATTGTTCCAAAAGAAGACGCCAGAATCACAGATTTAAGATGGAGTAGTGTGGCATTGCAGGTACCCACACCCCCTCCCCTGCCGGCAGGGGGCGACCTGGTTCTAGGTGCCTGTCCCATTTCAGTGACAGACCGTTGCTGGATAGGTGATGCTAACAAAACATCACAAGACAGGAGCTCACTTTTATTTGGTATCAAAGATATGATCCATTTTGAATAATTTACATTGGGTCGCTATTCTGGTTCAAGCTAGGGAATGAATGTTAAATAATAAAAGTGATTGTAATTGTCTATGGAGGAACACTGCTGCAAATTCAGCCTCAAACTTCACTCTGCCATATATTTACAAAGAGCAGTAAAAGAACATATTGGAAATAAAATGTGTGTATGTAGGTCTTATTATTGAATCATTTCCCAGTACTTATGTGGGGCATTTACCTTAGGAACTACAGTAGCTCCTTTGGGAACACTATCAAAAGCTGTAATTTAAAAAAAAAAAAAGAGAAAGAAAAGAAATGCCAATAAACTCACTGCCTATGCATATAGTTGTTAAAAATAGGAGATGGTGATCAGTATTCTTTCTTTCTAGTCTGGAGAACTTGATTGTAGATCCTACAAAATGTGGCCAATCCTTTCAGTAGTATGTTGAGAATCTTCCCTCAGAACTAAGAAAAGTCTGGTGTTATGAAGAAAAAGACCAAAATATTTCCCTAATTTAAACTAAAATTATTGGTTTGATGATTCATTTCAGGAGGGAAAAAAATTTTTTTTAAATTTTTAAAGCAGAACTTTAAAAATATTGCATGGAGCATTCAGAAGATGTGGAAAGAATGGCTGTAATTCTTACTCTAAAAGCAGGAAGAGAGGATGGGTTAGAGAAAGCTAGTAGAATCTGTCTCACAGGTACAACTGAGATGTTTCCACTCAAGGCTTACAGTCAGAAACGTGGGAGCTCAAAGGAAGTTAAAAGGAAAGGATGCTCTGAATCCAAAAGTCCTTCAACTCATAAAAGAAACAGGCAAACCTTTCCTCCCTCCTTCCCTTCTTTCCTTCTTCTCAAACTAACCACTGATTAACTTAAAAACATTTAAAGATTCATTTCTTCTTTTATGCAATCTTTTTCACTGAACTATAATTGACATGTAACATATATTAGTTCCAGGTGCACACCATAATGATTTGATATTTATACATATTGGGAAATGATCCCCGCAATAAGTCTGGTTAACATCTACCACATACATACTTAGATATTTCTTTTGTGTGTTGAGAACCTTTAAGACTGACTCAGCAACTTTCAAATCTGCAATGCAATATTCACTAGAGTCTCCATATGGCACAAAGATCCATTCTTAATTTCTTCCTCCGCAGGATAAACATGCCAAACCAACTGAATGCTTTCCTGAAATATTTAATCTTATTTAATGTTCTTCTCTGCACCTTCAGCAGTTCTCCATAAACTTTACAATTTGGGGAATTAAATAGGTCCAAAGGTTTAAGAAATGAACTCCTGGCACCGTTTGATGGGGAAGAACAGGAACCTTGTGATGCTCATATGGAGATTTTGCTCATCTGATCCTTTCAAGAAGAAGCAAGTTGGGTACATTTTCTGTCATCAAAATAAGACTTCCAAAGGAAGGGGCACTGCTGGTGTTCCCATCTCAGACCATGACTTCCCAAAACTAGACTTACCACCCAAATGCAAAATAAATTATATCTGTCAAAACATTGTCTGATCTGATACTCTGGCTTGAAAAAAATAGCACAACAAACTGGACTTTCAATCAAATATTTATGGGCATGTTTGTCTCTTAGGAAAACAAGGGGGAAATTAAATTGTAATCATAAATAAACTGGCCTGGATATCACAAAAGGGCAAGGAAGCTGTGTCGCTGTCACTTCGCATTGCAAGGGACATTTCTCTTCCGTTATTAGTGAAGTATCATGTGATGATGAGGGTCGGATGTGGTCCACAGTGTGACAAGCTCTTCCTCTGTAGCCTCTCACTGTGGATTCCCAGTGGGTGTCCCAGTCTTTGGCAGTGTGAACATCCTCAGGGGAGCGAAAGAAAGAAAGAGAGAGAGAGAAATGCAAATCTAAGTCGATGCTATTTCTGTCCTTTTGTATAAAACTATCTTGATGCAAAACATTCTTCTGTTTTGCAAGGAAGCCAATGAGAGCAATTACAGATGGACTTTAAGTGTCTCTGCACACATCCTGCCACCTAGGCTGACTCCTCTAGATCTCAAGTCAGTCTCTGGATAGACCAGATAGAGAAGTTGCCCATGGATAGCTTAGCTGAAGTTAAGCTATTATATGACTGTAAGTAGAGGGAATACACAGATACTCCCTGAAGCCTTTTCTCTAGGAAGATTTAGAAGCACAAAAAAACCTGATTGCCATGGACCACATAGGCATACCCTGGAGAGGTTTCATTTGAGGAGCTGGCCCATATGCTCAGAGGCCTTTGCTGAGAATAGCGTGCAGGTTTTTATCCTTGACTTAATTATAGGGATAATGTCAACCAGTAATGGATATCATTACCATTTGCTGGTGACCACTTAACAAAGATATTGCTCAATCTTTCCTCTGGCATAGCTATCCAGTAGGTAGAAATTGGAAAACTTTTTCCAAAAGACAAGTTCAGATCTTATATAATTTCTCACTTGTCTTATTAAAATGTTCTACTAAGTATATTTAGGGTAACTTTTTCTTGGAAGCTGAAAAACTTAAATCCTAACAGATCTTAGAACATATTTGACTAAAACAGTTGGATTTAAGACTTTACAATATAGTAAATTCTTTTTTTTTTTTTTTTGCTTTTTAGCAGAAAATAACTGATTTCCCATAGAAATTTTGTATGCATGATTGGAAATCATTTTATATGCTTTAAGTGTTGTAACTTTCATTTTTCTTAAATAAACAAATACATTTATTATAGAAGAAAATGAAAGTGTGCTCAACAACAACAAAAAACATTGACAATACCTTTACCTGGAAATACTACTGTTAACATTTTATTGTGTATCCTACTATATTTTTTCTCCTTATCTATTTGTTGCCATTAAAATGATATGTTTTATTGTTTAACATAAAAGTAGATCATCCCACATATTTCCTTTCTAACTTTTTCTATTTGATAAACAATTTATGGACATTTTTTCATGTTATTAGATATTCTGGAATAATTTTATTGCCTACAAAGAAAGCCATTATATTACCTTCATGTTACTTCACAAGGTTATTTATACTATTTCCTCCATTCCCATTAGATTTTTATGATATAAAGCCTAGACCTTCGTACAAAAAAAAAAAAAACCTGTCGCAATTTTATTATTAACACAAAGCTGTTCAAGATATTAGAACTAGTGCTATTTGAGCAGAGGAACAAAGCAAGATTTGATTCATTTTCAGGGATGGAGCACATCATTGGAGCTGTTAGTTAACTATTCTAATGCATCATCTGGATGACCACAGTCACTTTAGTGTAGAGCTGGAGGGGATCAGTGAGCCTTTGAGAAATAAGAAACATGTTTTAGAAATGACACCAATAAGAACTAGTCTAAATAATTCTGCTCCCTTGGAAAGCATAGTATGAAGAGAAAAGTGTTTGAATATATGATATTGGATGATAATTTCCTTTTACTTCTATAGCTGAATTGTTTTGAGACTGACCAGTACCATGAAGTAGTTGAAATTACAAGTTAAAAGTCAGCCTGTAAGATAAAGTCACAAACCAGAAATACCATAAATAGTGTGTGACTGGTGAGGATATACTTTATAGTTAGTTGAGCTATGAATGGAGTGAAGTAGGATGTGCAAGAAAGAACATTTTATTTAGGAGGAACCAAAAACACACTTGTCAAGAGGTAGAGTTTTAAAACAATTTAAAACGTTGTCACCTCTGAAGGGAACCAGTATCTCTATGCTTGTTCAGTGGGCTGAGATGAAGGACTGTTAGATTTGGTCAGCAGAAAACACTGGCGGCCCACAACCAGGTCCTCCAGGAGGCCCATGATTCCTCAAGGAAGGCAGAGGAGAGGAGGAAAAAAACACAGCAATGGAAGAAATCAAATAGTGACCCCAAAATGCACTGAGGAGTGGCTGGGAACAGACCAGGATGAGCCAAGAAGCCATCCGCACAGGCAAGAAAGGAGAGTTGCCATAATGTGATCTTGCCCCATGTCTGAGGAGAGCCAATTTCTAAAACACACAGACTCTCTTTTCAAGATGTGGATTTATTTTCCAAATGGTTTAAGACAGATATGGAAAAACAAAGGATTGTAGTGCATCACCCTTTACCTTCCAGAATACAGTATCCTGAAGTGGCTTGCAATCAGAGTAAGTGTGACTCACAAACTTCCAGCTTCCCTCACAAGGATGGGTTTTGTAGTTAATGCAAAATATATTAACCCGGGATTAGGGAAAGGAAAGATGTGTGTAAAGCCACTTCTAACAGTTGCTTTTCTCCCGGGCTTCCCTTCCTGCTGGTGGTGGCTGCTTTGTGCTCTTTTCCAGAGTTCTGTTGGAAGGTGCTGTCTTTTGTTTTTGACAGAATGTTGATCCAGGTGTGCCTGTATTTTTACTGTAAATTTTTGTGGCGCTGCCTGAAATTTGTAATGAGAAAGCTGACTGGAAGGTGTGAGCTTCAGCGGATCTGTTATAACACCAAGCCTGGCGCTTCCAGGACCATGAAAATCGGTAAGTGTGAAATAAAGCAGCTAGCTACATGTCTGCTTGGTGGGACTGAGACTCAGTGTTGTATTCAGTAATCAAGCCACTAATAAAGTAAAATTTCTGCGTGACTGTTTTTGTTTTCTGTGTTACAGAAACCTCACTGAGGGATTCAAAAAGTAAGGTAAGAAAATTGTTTCTATGTGTTTCAGCAACTCTTCTCTTGGAGGTTTACCTCCATCATCATAAAACAAAAATTGAAGAAACTAAAACACATCCTTGGCTGTAAAAACAAACACAAACTAATAAAAAAAAATGTTTGCCCATCACAAATCTTTTGATGAAAGGGGCCATGTGAATTTCTAGGCAGACTTATGAAGCCCTACTTTCTTCATTGTTGAATTAATCCTTTTTTATACCTCTTCCCAAATCATAAATAAGTATCATTTGAAAATCAGAATAATATTCTAATCATTTAACTTTATACTGAAGATTTTCCAAGGAAACCCACTATCCTAGCTTTTATAGCTGTAGTTAAGCATCCACCTAAGAGAGAAAATCTTTTTTCCCCGAGAATCTTGATACTCTCATGTTACTATTTAATTCTGACATCCTTAGGACTATAGCCCTGCAGCTTTTCACTCAGTCATAGACACAATGCTCATTAACGATGCAAACCATGTATGTGGGGTGAGAGAAAACAAATATAATGTTTCAATAGAAGTTGATTGAAAGAGATGAAAATGGTTAAAGAAAACTTATCTCTGTTTTATGTTAATTGCCTTAATCAGGAAAATTGCACTACTTCCATTGTGAAAATGTCAAATTTATTCATTTTTTAAAGATTTATTTATTTATTTATACAAGCATTGGGTACAGTCAGAAGCACGGGAGGGTGAGAGAATTCACCAGAGCCAGAACGGGGAGCAGAGCAGGCAGAAGGACCGAAGTACGCTGCTGAGGGGAGCAGCGGGCGGCATGAGAGGTCTGTGCGCCATGTGGGACCCTCCTCCTGTGGCCAGGGAGCAGCCAGGGATCGAACAGGCGCTGCAGAAGCTGCTGGCAGCTTTGCAACCCAGCGCTCAACCACCGGGGAGGCCCTGAAAATGTCAAATTTAATAGAATTCAAATACTAAGTCAAGTTTTGCTTTTAGTTTAGATGAGTTTCATATTCTTCACATGGACATTTTAAAAGGCAAAAGAGAAACACTAGTATTTACATAGACATTTTAAACAAATACTTGCCACCCCCATGAAATAGAGACTTAAGTTACATGATAAAGAAACTGATTGATACATGCTTTCTAGCTGTTGCAGACTGCAGTAAGTGTTCACCCTGATGCCATTGAGAAAACTATAGAAGACATCATGGAACTGAAAAAAATTAACCCGGACATAAATCCACAGTAAGGATGTGTTTAATATGCTGTAAATGTAGAACACCAGCAACTCCATGGCCACATAGTATTCTAGCACTGGTGTGACCTCAGGCACTCTCTCTGCCTCCTCCACCATCCCCCCCACCCCAGTCTTCTGCAGTGTTACAGCTTATATATGAAGAATGAAGGAAAAAGGTGCATTTTCCATGTTTGTAAATAGCAGCATCTTTATATCTATTGTAAAATTCATGGGGATGCTTCTGAGGTGCAATGAATGTAAGACATTTGCTGGGTAATTCTGATACCAGAAGAGGAAATTAAGGGGGCCCATTCATCAATAATTGCTCCATATGTTACCTCTGTTTTACATTCACAGTAAAGGTTCAAATTGCAAATGTGCCTGAGTTGATTCTGCTCCATCAAGAATCTTCCTTCTGTTCTGACAAACTGATCATCTTGAAACTAGTTCCTACCTGCTTGTCAAGAAGACAGACATGTGTGGGAGGGAGAGATGTTTTTATATGAAGATTTCAGAACTTTGTGATTTAGGCATCTCCTCTTGGAAGTATTAAAATGCACTTGGCAATGTACATGCCAGTTAAAATTAGCTTTCTATTTTCCATTGGGTGCAGAAATTTTTCAGTAAAATGTGGGGCTAAGAATATTGGGTAGAATAAATTCTGTCTGTAGATATATTTAGAAACAGTTTAGGTAGGCAGTGATCAAACTGTCTTTGAGATGTGCACACACCTGAGAACTTCAGATATTATAGTGGAGAGTCTTTTAATTGCCGGATTTGAAAGGAATTTTAGTGTACTTACATAGGTGTAGCTTTTGGAGGTAATCTAAGTATTAGCTAATTGGGTCTCATCACAAAACTCTATTTCCAGGTCAACATAGCATTTTTCCTGCAGCCTGTTCAGCTAATTGCTGCCTTTATTCAGCCATTAAAGATTGATTTAATTATGCTGTAAATGTCTTCTTGAAGCCTTCTGACATATACTTTATTCCTTTGGGAAGGTGATAAGAAGGCAATTCATTTTAAATTAAATTGAACCAAAAGTTTAAGACTACAATTGAGCATGAGGAATTAGACCTATAATCATATTTAGAGATTAGATTAGATTTAATAGCAAATCTTTTGTATATTTCTTTTATGAAATTTCTTTGTTTCATTCAAAAACATTTCTTTACTTCCTATTCTCTTGATTTCCTTTAGGGAGAAAAAGAAAACCCTTGTTGGTAGTAAATTGTGGTTTTACATCTCAATATGGATTTTAGTGCTTTTTTCCCAGATTAACAATGACAAAATGTAATTTTAAAAAATTAGATAATTTTCTGAAAAATAAATCAAGAAATAGGAGGGGAAGGCCAGTGGAAATATTTTATCATTTTTCAAGTCACTGCTGCTATTAAACTTACTTTGTTGTAATTACATCTTTGAAGTACTGCTTATGGTACTAGTAAGAACCACGACAGTAAAAATTGAATTGGCTTCCCTACCCCCTCACTGTTTGTTTCCTCAAAATAAACTCTCTTCTTAATCCTGTGTTGATTTTTTGGGTGACCAGTGCCAATGTGCCCTTGTTCTAAATTTAAATATCTGGTCACATTTTGGTCTTAGGATAACAAGCAGTGTAGGGCCGTTAGTGTTCTAAATGATATGACATAGTTATCCTCTATGTTTGGAGTAGCTGTAGAATCCTAAAACATAATTCTCTATTCCTCCAACTTTAGATTTAACCTCTGCATTCTCATTTAACCCCCTGCAAAAGAAAAGACTACGACTACCACCACAACAAAAATTTTAACATTTAGTGAGTGACTTAGAAATAGAAGGATACTGGATGATAACTACTGGGTTGGGGCATACAAATACACAGCCCTCTTTTTTTGTTTTTATTTTCTTACATCATTGTTTGTTTTTGTACAATATTTGATTCCTCCTTTCAGGTGTAGTTCCATAGTTTTCCCCCTACCTACCACCCATGATCCATTACCGTGATCCCCATGCTCTTCACTTCCCTCTTTTGACCCCTCTCAATCCCCCTACCTTGCTATTTGCCTCAAATCTATGGTCAGATTGTAAGTTTTGCAAGCTGTGTTCCACCTATACATGAAACCATTCAATATTTTTTTTTTCTCTTCTGACTTATTTCACTTAACATATTCCTTCTAGCTCCATCCATGTTGCTGCAAATGGCATGAGTTTATCATTTTTGACTGCTGAGTAGTATTCCATCGTATATGAAAGTGAACAAGTGTGAAGAGATTAGCAGGAAAAAAAAACATATCTCAGATACTACCTTTAGGTTTAAAGATGCCATCAAACAAATATAGAAGAACAATTTATGTGACTAGTTTATATGAAAAAAGATCTTGATTAGTTGCCTATTTAATAAACTTGCTATACATGTGACAGCTTAAATAGACATCTTGAATAGCTTAAATAGTTTTACCTTCTCCATTGTCAGAAAGAAAGAAAAGAATTCAGGTCATAGGCAGCACACATGTGTGTTATGCATGCAGAGTTGTTTTCTGTTCTGGTGAAATGTTTTCAGAGGGCCATTAATCAAACTACCTTGGGGAAAACTAAGCAGTAAAACATCTGAAAATCATGTCTCATGAGAGGGAGTTAAAGGAATAAGGGCTATTATTTATTTATTTATAACCCTGGAGATGGAACTAGAAGAAAAAATTGCTTTCTTAAAATAAATAGGCATGGCAGGGGAAAGGTGGACATACATTTTGCTCAGAGAGCAGAATTTGAATTACCTGTTAATAAGGAAAGCAGATTTTGTTTCTGCAAGTACTGAGTTCTTTCGTTGGCATTGCCTTATCTATCAGGGTGCTCCCAGGCAGGGGTGTGTTTGTTGTTGTTTTATTTTGAAAATTGTCTTACTTTTAAACCTTTGAAGGCACTCTCTATCTTACCCCCACCTCCATCCCTGCCCATCTCTTTCACACACACTCATTGGAAATGCTTTCAAGATACCTGCGTAGGGGAGCTAAGTGATCCCTAAGATCCCGTTATTTCTACATTTTCTGTCTTGCTTTCAAGTCACCTGCATAAAGCACTCCCTTTGTCTTTAAAATCAGATTTTTGCAACTTGACTGGAAAAAAAGACCAGAAGGAAAGGTAAATTTTAGTCAAGTTCAACAACTGTATCTTATGCAGCTTCAGTAAGAAATTGTGCTTCTATTAAATAGATCCTATTTGAGCAATTTCCTAAAAATTAAATAAATATGAAAATACTCTTGTGCATCATCAAGGGAACAAGTGCCATATATATTTTGCTTTTCCTTGTGTGCTACTTGTATTTTTTCCATCAGATTTCCCCCATCACCATCATGTCCCCTTGTCCCCTTCTGCCTCCATCCCTCTTAACCTGGGAGCCTTCAATGTTTAGCGATGTCCCCTTGTTTTTCTAAGTATTTTACTGTGTCAAATTGCCCCCTATGTAAATGTCCAGCATTTGTGTTTGCCCTTCTGACTTGCTCAACTATGTTTCTTCTCTTTTTGAACTCGTTAGGTTGGGAATCTCTCTCCAAGCTTGCCTTTTGCAAATTGTTGGCTATAGAAACCTTATTGCTGATGTGGAAAAACTGCGCAGAGAGCCCTATGATTCTGATAATCCCCAACATGAGGAGATGCTTTGAAGGTTAGTCAAGAACAATGTCAGTCTTTTGCTCAGGTAGTGACTGTTTGCCCAGTGCCCACCGTGTGCTCACATGCTATGGACCTGGAGGAGGGGTGCAAAAATGATACCACATGGGCACGGCCATCCCGGGCAAGGTTCACTTTTCTTGCTGCTTGACATGTTAAAGGTGCACATTTTTACTGGAAAATTCATGTAAGAAATTAAACGTAAAGCCCGATGTTGTTTTGCTGCTCTGAGAAAGCATCAGGTGATTTCTGTGGGCTCCAGCTTAGGTTGTTTAACTGTGTTCAAAGCCAGTAAGAGAAATAGCATCTGTCAAGGAGTGACCTGGGATTTCCATTTATGACTTTTAATAGACATCAAAGAAGATGAAGTTGGTTTCTGCTTCAGCAATTGCCCTCTTGGGAAATTACCCGAGATCTTAATGATGATTATTTATTCATGTGGCTTGGAGAGTCTTACAAGAGGAAGTAAAGGTTTATAGCTGATGTATTAAAAACAGCTGGAAGATTAAGATGCTCTTATAGTCACTCTGACTGTCAAAGCAAAACCTTAAAAATCTTGTACAATCTGATGGTATTTTATGAAACGCCACTGAAACCACTTAAAAACACTGAATTGTGAGTTAAAAATTAAGCTCAACCTTTAGAATTACTCATCTGAAATGTTTCCTAAGTTTCTTCTGCAAACAGATTTTTTTTAGGATGGAGTACTTCCCTGGCCTTTTGTAAAATTCAAAAAGACAGTATCAAAAGGGAAAGTATTTGTTTTGCTACCTTAACTTTATTGGAAAGTGTCCATAGCAACTGTCATTGTTCAGATGTATCCTGCTGTGTATTTGTGTGAAGGAGTGTATGTTTCTGTGTATGTAAGTACTTAAGCATATGACTCACTTGTATCTACTAATTAGCGCTAGATCTAATGTGAATCACTAAAAACTAAAGGCAACTCACTCTTAACAATAGTTTTTCTTCCTTTTTTCCTTTTTGCCCCTGCTTAAATTTGGCTAACCTACTGACTGAGCTTCATCTCTTTTTGTTGTTTGTTTGGGTTTTTTTTTTTTTTCTATTTCCTGATAGAGGTAGTCAGGTTCAATAAAATAATCTAGAGGTGGGAAATCAGAAGTGAATGAAAAGGAAGAGGTGATGTAATTAACAGACTGGCCACAGTGCCTGATAAATGCATCAAAATACTGTGAGTTCATTAGAATCATTGAATTCCTTATTTTGAAAATTCAAAATAGCTCTGGAAAATTCTTATATAATAATATAAAAAGAAATTTCTTATGCTCATATTTAATATTTTGTTTTCTTTTGTAATTTTTTTCTCAAAAAAGCTTTGCTACCTGATATATATACTTCACATGTTCATCATTGAGAACCAATTTGTATATATATTACATTAAGTTCCCCACTAAGAGTCCACATCTATTCTTCACCCCATCATTGTCCCCTTTCCCCTGATTTTCCTACTTTCCTTCAAGTGAGATGCCCTCTGAACTAGTGATATTTGGGTGCTTTCCATGTACCTTTTTGGCTGATCTGTGTGTGTGTGCTAGTACATAGTAGGTAATCTGTTACCATAGGATTTAAGTGATTTAATTTATAAATCAAATAGTCAAAGACCATTATCAGTGTTCCTACTGAAAGTTTTTTTTTAAGATTTTTTTTTTTTACTTATTTATGCATATGAGAACTAGGGTGTATGCCAGAAGTTCAGGGGGGTGAGAGGATTCACCAGAGACAGAGTGGGGAGCAGAACAGGTGGATCTATTGAAATGAGGGGAGCAGCGGGTGAGACAGGAGAGGTCTCCTATGCCATGTGGGTTAGCTCCCTGCCTGGGGATCAAACTCAGGCCGTGGCAGTGATAGAGCTGAGCCTAACCCTTAAGCCACCAGCGAGGTCCCCCTACTGAAAGTCTTAAAGGATAAAATAAATCTGCATTTTATGATCATTTAAACACAAGTTGGGATGAAACTGAATAACATCACTTTATGTTCTCCATCCATTTCTATGAAATGCTTTCTAACTGAATTAATAATAAAAACAAAATTTTAGGTGAGTTCATGTACTTAACAAAAAAATACAATGAAAAATACAACCCGCAGTTAAAACACCCTCTCCTGATATGAAGAGACAGTCCCAAGGTGACCTTGCTGAGAATTACTTCTCCCTGAATGAGAGGATGGCGGAATGTCCTTGCCTTGCTGCTGGGCAACAGATTTCAGACAAGGCAGAAATTGTTCAGATAAGCTTGGGGCAAAGGCTGAGTGCAAGGAGAAGGGCAATAAGTGGAGGGAATGGGAGCTGAGGGGTGATCGTCTGCCTGGGCGCACAGTCACCACTTCTGTAGCTCGTCATCTGCTGCAGATATCACCCTTCCTGCTTCTGGTTTCCTGCCCTTCGTGGGTGACTTTGTAACAACTGTTCCCAGTAGCACAGCCTTAGATGCCTGGGTTATTCCAGCTCCTCACCTTAACACAGATCGCAGGTCAGCCTCCTAAATGTAAGCAATGACCTCACCCTTGAGATGAGCTTCTACCCTCATATTTCAGGGAAGAACCTGTCAGTCAGAGAAACCAGTGGCTCCAGCTTTTTTATAGGACATAGCTAAGTGGTAGTACTTATGTAATTACTTCAGCGTAAACAACTTTCCTGTTCTAAGTGACCTTTATTAAAACAGGATTAAGAAATTCATTAAAAACACTTTTAGCCATTATTCTACTTGGGCATGATACATGAAATCATTTAAATGGAGTTTCTTTTGTAAATTGAAAACACCATAATGGTGTTGCAGTGATTTCCTTGGATGTGCTTCTCTGTTAATTCTGTTCTAGCATGACAGGGAATGCCTGGCTGTGGGAAGCAGAAGTATTTAATGCTGGTATGAGCTGGTGTTCTTGTCCACCAGCCATGTGTTTTCTCCCTAATGTGTCATATCCAGAAAGCCTGGGATCACAGATACATTCAGGGATCCCTTACTAGTCACAGGGACAAAATGACGTGTCACTAAAATCGAGTCTTTTTTTTAAAGCATTTTATTCTTCAAATGTCTTGCTCCCCGCAGTTAAGTGTCCTCCTCTGAATGAGGTTTATAAGCTACCTGTAGAAATTCAGTGTTTGCTTTTGCTGTTTTACTCCCTCACTCTATGAAACCAGACATATCTCAACTGTGTAGCACCCTGAGGTGACTTCAAATTATTATTCAAAGGAGCATGATGAATTTAATGGTTTATTTTCCTTTGTGTTTTTTTTTTTCATTGTAGCAGTAACCAAATCAGTTTCTAAAGGATTTTGAAAAAGAGATTTTTTTCTCTCATTATTTAGAGCTCTTCCGGCAAACTCAGAAATATTTTATGTCTTGGTGAATTCAGAACTCTGGCAAATTTTTCCATGGATAATATAAAAAGGAATTTCTTATACCCAGTTGACTATTTTGCTTCCAGACATGATAGATTTACTTCCTTTCGCCTGAAACTTATTTTCAGATTGAATTTACCTATTGAACTTTAACATATGATACTGTATCATTTGAACTATATAGTCTTTTGGGATTAGTGCCTAACATAGCTTTCATGAATTGCAAGTCTCTTTTTTTGTTACTATTTCCTGCTAATGAATATTTTATACTGTGTGAGAAGATGAAAATTCCTCCAAAAAAGTGTTTGTGTAATACTGTTATGTTTAAGATTTAAAAACATAAATAGAATAAGCAATTTAGTAGTTGGATTGTGTCTAAAGTAGTGAAAGAAAATGTTTTTATTTGTTCCTGTCTATAAGGAAGATGTAGTATAAAATATTATTGTCAACTTGCCCATCTCTTTTAGAAATTACTAACAGTTAGAGAATTAATACTTATACACCTGTGGGTCTCACGTTCTCTTTCTCAACTAATGATATATGTTGAATGTATCTTTCCAAATAAAACTTAGAAAATTAGAACCAGTTTCTTAAGCAATGACAAGCATAGACTTAGAATTAATATTTGCCCATTAATAAATAATTAATCATAATTAAATTCTTTTAGGTAACTCTTAAAGATGAAAATATATTCTGAGTTTTATGAAGGATCATTATATATTCTGAGCATTATGATAAGATCATTACTGATCTTATCTAGCTACATCACATTTACTCTCACCACTGTTTTAAAGGTGAGCTCTAAGAAATTGAACTCAAATCAGTCTAGTTTTCCTCTTGTTAACCATGCTGCTAAATACTCTGCTATAAAATTAGCAGAAGTATTTTCTGAGGATTTGAATAACGGTTAGCCTCGAAAAATTTTCCCTGACCTCCCTTTCCCTTTATTCTCTTATGTATATTTGAGGACTCAGAGGGTCTTTGTGGAAATCTGAACAGCAATTAAAATAGAATGCTCGAAAACACCAAAATATACAAGTATATATCCATTGTGTTCAGCGTGATGACACTGTTGCCTGTCATGCAGCCCGTAGAAAATCCCACTGTATGAAAAGGCAATCAACCTACTCATTTTATTACAAAATAATTTTTACCTCCCATCCTTCTAAAATATTTTAGGGTTCTCCAAGGAGTCTCCATGCATCTTATAGGAACTGCTGTCATAGACAATAGAAAGATGATCAAATCCTTAACTGTAATGTATTTACATAATGTACTTCACAGAGTGCCTCCTAATAACGTAGTTCATGAAATCTGGTTTATGAAGTTTACAAAGAGCAAAGTGTATGTGTGTATATCAGCACATAAATTTCCTTCTTGTCCAAATTTTCCTTTTTGTCTCCAGTTGTGGACATTCTTGAAGCCCAATACACCCCTGGAATCTCGGATTTCTAAGCAATGGTGTGAAATTGGTTTCCAAGGTGATGACCCTAAAACTGATTTTCGAGGAATGGGCCTCCTGGGACTGTACAATTTGCAGTAAGTCAAATGAAGAATGGTTAAGTCTGAGAGTGATGGTCTGCTGAAATAGGAAAGCTGAGTTATTAGTACCAAAAGCCCCTTTTCAGAAGGCTCTAAGAAAACATTCAAGTCCCCTAAGATACAACTCAGGTTCATAAAATTTTAAAAATGGTCAGCATCTGTCTTTTATTTGGACAGACTTCATGAATGTTTAAAAACCTATCTTGTGGTACTTTTCAAAAATTTTTGTTGTGAAAACAAAACATAGGCAAAAAACAGGAAAGTTTGTAAAGAACCTCTTCAACTGAACACCCAGATTCAATAATTATTAAAATTTTGAAATACTTGCCATGCTTAAGTTGTTGGTTTCTGTTTTTCTTTTTTTTTGGGGGGGGGAAGGGGCAGAACTATGTTAGTAAAATCCTACACTGTTGGTCATTTCACACTCACATTTCAGTGTATAGCTCTAAAAAATATGTTACCTAACTTTAATCACAATGCCATTATCACACCTAAGAATTTCACAATGATTCCATGGTGTCATCTATATCCAGGGCATATTCAAATTCCCAATTCTTCCCAAAATGTCTTTTTGTAGCTGTTTTGTTCTGACCCACTCTATGCAATGTCCACACATTGTGCTTAACTACCATGTCCCTCTGGTCTCTTAATTAGAATTTCTTTCTCCCCCTCCTCACTTTTTGCCCCGTCCCCAAGTCATTAACTTGGGCAAGATTCGGGTCAGCTGTGTGTTTGCATTTGAACTCATCCCCTGAATGGCCTAAAAACCAGAGGTATTGGGAAAGGCCTACATAGGGTTCCCCTGTCACCACAGGCGACAGCAGAGACAGCAGAGGAATCACAGCCTCTGGTCTCCTGGAGATCCCCCAGCTGCCTTTTATCTAGTGCTCCCCACCTGGCTTGCTCTTCACTGCTCCATGTCATTAATGGAACAGAAAGTTCTTTTCTAGTTCTGTTATTTTTCCCACAATTTTGGATGGAATTCTATAAAGTCTGTTTCTTTTATCAACGACAGTTATGTGGTGTCTCTGAAATGTAGGCAGGACAGATGCTCAATTAAATAAGTTGCCAATTATCAGTGAGGAGTTAGTGTCCTGATTTCCTAGTAGTGATCATGAAACTAATTTTCTTTCACTTTGTCTATTTTGTAACTATCATTTTTAATCCCTACTTTTTATATGCTTATTGTGATTCAGTTAATTGTGCTTGCTCTTTCTCTGCACGCACAAGTGTGCTTAAATGGAATTATTTGTTGTCATTATTTTTTTTTAAATTTTTTTTTTATAGAGGAATGTTTATTTATTTATTTATTTGTTTGTTTGTTCTGTTTACACATGCACTGGGTACAGTCAGAAGCGCGGGAGGGTGAGAGAATTCACCAGAGCCAGAGCGGGGAGCAGAGCAGGCAGAAGGACCGAAGTACACTGCTGAGGGGAGCAGCGGGTGGCAGGAGAGGTCTGCGTGCCATGTGGGACCCTCCTCTGGTGGCCGGGGAGCAGCCGGGGATTGACCGGCGCTGCAGAGGCCGCTGGCAGCTTTGCAACCCAGCGCTCAACCGCTGCGCCACCGGGGAGGCCCTGTTGTCATTATTTTTTAAGCCAAAACGAATTCTTTTCAGTTGGTCCTTATCTTGGACACTACCCTATTAGGGGGAATGGTGGTATATTTTTTTTTTAAGATTTATTTATTTATGCATCCAAGATCTGGGGTATAGGCCAGAGGTGTGGGAGGTGAGAGGATACACCAGAGACAGAGAGGGGAGCAGAACAGGCAGACTGACTGAAATACACTGATGAGGGGAGCAGCAGGCGAGATGGGAGAGGTCTGCTGCACCCTGTGGGTCAGCTCCCTGGCTGGCCTGGGATCAAACTTGTGCTGCAGTGGCTGCGGATAGCTTCACAGTGCTGTGCTTAACCCTTTGCACCACCAGGGAGACCCCTGGTGGTGTATTTTCTTTTTTTATAAATTTTATTTTTATATTCCCCATACAATTGCAACCCCCTTATTTTGACCTCAATCCCTCCCCTCCCCACCCCCCACTCCCCATAGAGTGTCTCTGGTTCATAGTTGTTTGTTGATTTTGATTTTCAATTTCTTATAGTTATTCATTTTCCTTGTCCCTTATTTAAGTTTTCTAGATTCCTGCTATGAATGAGACCATCCGGTATTTTTCTTTTTCTTTCTGGCTTATATCACTGAGCATGATCCCTTCCAGCGCCATCCATGTTGCTGCAAATTGCATGTGTTTATCTTTTTTGAATGCTGAGTAATATTCCATGGTATATATGTACCACATCTTCTTGATCCAGTCATCTATTTTTGGGCATTTGGGTTGTTTCCAAAGCTTAGCAATTGTAAACAGTGCTGCTATAAACATAGGGGTGCAGGTGCTCTTTGGAGTTGATGTTTCTGTGTCCTTTGGGTAAATACCTAGGAGTGGAATTGCTGGATCATATGGAAGCTCTATGTTTAGTAGGTCAAGAAATCTCCACACAGCTCTCCATAGTGGTTGGACCAGTTTGCACTCCCACCAACAGTGCAGGAGAGTTCCTTTTTCTCTACAACCTCGCCAACATTTGTTGTTGCTAGTTTTTTTAATATGTGCCCTTCTCACTAGTGTAAGATGGTATCTCGTTGTAGTTTTGATTTGCATTTCCCTGATTACAAGTGATGTTGAACATTTTTTCATATGCCTGTTGGCCATTTGCATTTCCTCTTCAGAGAAGTTTCTTTTTGTCTCTTCTGCCCATTTTTTGACAGGATTATTTTCTTTGTTGTTGTTGAGTCTCAACAGCTCTTTGCAGATTTTTGTGATCAGTCCTTTATCATTAGTGTTGTGTGCAAAAATGTTCTCCCAGTCGGCGGGGTTTCTCTTTGTTTTTGTTATTGTCTCTTTTGCTGTACAGAAGCTCTTTAATTTGATGTAGTCCCAGCTGTTGATCTTTGCCTTCACTATCACTGCTTTGGGTGATGTGTCTGTAAAGTTGCCTTAGATGTGCATATCATGTAGTGTTTCGCCAATATTTCCTTCTGTGTATTTTATGGTTTCAGGTCTTATGTCTAGTTCTTTAATCCATTTTGAGTTGGTTTTTGTGTATGGTGTTAGGTAGTAGTCAAGCTTATTGTTTTACATGTAGCAACCCAGCTTTCCCAGCACCATTTATTGAACAAACTTTCTTTGCTCCAATGCATATTCTTTGCTCCTTTGTCAAAGATTAGTTGACCATAAATCTGTGGGTTTATTTCTGGATTTTCTATTCGAGTCCATTGATCTGTGTGTCTGTTCTTGTTCCAATACCATGCAGTTTTGATGATTATGGTTTTGTAGTATAGTTTGAAGTCTGGGAGTGTGATGCCTCCATTCCCTTCTTTTTTTTTTCAGGAGAGCTTTGGCTATTTGGGGTTTTTGGTGATTCCATATGAATTTCATCAATAATTGTTCTATTTCTTTGAAGAATGACATTGAAATTTTTATTGGAATAGCAAGCAATCTGTATATTGCTTTTGGTAGGATGGCCACTTAAATAATGTTTATTCTTCCAATCCATGAGCAGGGGATGTCTTTCCATTTCTTTGTGTCTTCTTCTATTTCTTTTAACAGTGTTTTATAGTTCTTTGTATAGGTCCTTTACCTCTTTTGTTAGATTTATTCCCAAGTGTTTGATTTTTTTTTGTTTTGATAATAGAAGGAATGGTTTTTTTTAATTTCTTCTTCTTCAGATTTATTGTTGGTGTATAGGAAGGCTACTGACTTTTGCATGTTGATTTTGTATCCTGCCACTTTACCGAACTGATTGATTAGTTGAATTAGTTTTTCTGTGGAGTTTTTGGGGTTCTCTATGTATATTATCATATCTGCAAATAGTGTAGTTTGACTTCTTCTTTTCCTATTTGGATTCCTTGTATGTCTTTCTCTTGTCTTATTGCTCTGGCTAGGACTTCCAGTATTATATTAAAAAGCAGTGGTGAGAGTGAACATCCTTGTCTTGCAGATCTTAATGGAAATGCTTTCAGCTTTTCACCATAGAGAACGATACTGGCTGTTGGCTTGTCATATATGGCCTTTATGATGTTGAGGTATATTCCTTGTATCCCAAGAATTTCAAGGGTTTTTATCATGAATGGGTGTTGCACTTTGTCGAAAGCTTTCTCGGCATCTATTGATATTATCATATGGTTTCTATATTTCTTTTTGTTGATGTGTTGGATAGCGTTGATTGATTTTCAGATGTTGAACCATCCTTGTGTCCCTGGAATGAATCCTACTTGGTCGTGGTGAATTATCTTATGGATACATTGTTGGATTCTGATAGCTAAAATTTATGGAGGATTTTTGCATCAGTGTTCATTAGGGAGATTGGCCTGTAGTTTTCTTTTTTTGTGTTGTCCTTGTTCGGTTTTGGTATTAGTGTAATGTTGGCTTCATAGAACGTGTTTGGTATTATCCCTTCCTTCTCAATTTTTTGGAAGAGTTTGTGAAGGATAGGCACTAATTCCTTTCTGAATGTTTGGTAGAACTCATTTGTAAATCCATCAGGTCCTGGGCTTTTGTTTTTGGGGAGGTTTTTGAATACCATTTCAATTTCGCTGCTTGTAATTGGTCTGTTTAGGTGTTCTATTTCTTCTTTATCTAGCTTTGGGTGATTGTAGAGTTGTAGGAATTTGTCCATCTCCTCTAGATTGTTGAACTTGTTTCCATATAACTGTTCATAGTAGTTACTGATTATTCTTTTGATTTCTGAGTGTCCATTGAGATTTCTCCTCTTTCATTTATGATCCTGTTTTTTGTGCTTTCTCCCTGTTTTCCTTTGTGAGCCTGGCTAGGGGTTTGTCTATTTTATTGATTTTTTTGAAGAACGAGCTCGTGGTTTCATTGATCTTTTGGATTGTTTTTTTAGTTTCAATTTCATTTATTTCTGCTTTGGTTTTTATTATTTCTTTTCTTCTACTGGTTTTGGAGTTTTTTGTTGTTCTTTTTCTAGATCTTTGAGCTTTGAGATTAGGTTGTTTCTTTGAGTTCCTTTGTTTCTTGATGTGAGCCTCTATTGCTATATATTTTCCTCTTATTACTGCTTTTGCTGCATCCCATACATTTAGGAAATTGGTGTCCTCCTTGTCATTCAATTCAAAGAATTTTTTAATTTCTTCTTTGATGTCCTCATTAGTCCATTGGTCTTCCAGTAGTGTAGGTTTCAATCTCCATGAGGTAGGAGAGTACCTTGTACTACTACTACTACTACTCCTACTCTCCATGAGGTAGGAGAGTACCTCGCCTTCTTTTTATGGTTTATTTCTAGTTTGATGCCTTCATGGTCAGAAAAGATGGTTGGTATGATTTCAATCTTGGTGTATCTGTTGATGTTTTGTCTTGTGTCCCAGTATGTGATCGATCCTGGAGAATGATCCATGTGTGCTTGAGAAAAATGTGTACTCAGATTTTTTTGGGTTTAGTGTTCTATAGATGTCTGTTAAGCCCAAGCTCTCTAGATCCTTATTTAGAGCTTTAGTGTCTCCGATGTCTTTTTCAAAGATGACAATAGTTGTCTGATATATTTTGGTGCTCCTTCGTTCAGTGAATATATGTTAATGAGTGTTATTTCTTCTTGAAGTATTGTCCCCTTGATCATAATGTAGTGACCATTTGGGTCTCATTTTATCTTTTTGAGTTTGAAATCTGTTTTATCTGATGTAAGTATAGCTGTTCCTGCTTTCTTTTTTGGTCCATTTGCTTGTAAGATTGTTTTCCATCCTTTAACTTTGAGTCTATTTTTATCTTTTGTAGCTAAATGTGTTTCCTGGAGACAGCAAAAGGTTGGGTTTTGTTTCTTAATCCAGCCTGCAGCTCTGTGTCTTTTTATTGAAGAGTTTAGTCCATTTACATTTAGAGTTAATATTGATATGTTAGTATCTGTATTTGCCATTGTGTTTGTCTTTCCTTTGATTTTATTTACTTATTCTTTTAATAACTTTTTTTTTTTGGCCTTCTTTCATTGTTATTCGTCCCTCTGAGGTTCTGGCTTTAGGACTCCTTGTAGTATTTTTTGGTTTGGGGGTTTAGTCGTAATGAAATTCCAGAGTTTCTGTTTGTCTGAGAAGGTCCTTATTCTTTCTTCATAGAGGAAGGAGAGCTTTGCGGGATAGAGTATTTTTGGTTGGCATTTGTTTTCTTGGAGTCTGTTGACTGTGTCCCTCCACTCTCTCCTTGCCCATAGTGTTTTTTTGGAGAAGTCTGATGTCAGTCTGATTGGTTTTCCTTTGAATGTTATCTGTTTCTTCCCTCTTGTCAGCTTCATTATTTTTTCCTTGTCTTGGATTCTTGGGAGCTTTACTATTATGTGTCTTGCTGTATTTTTTCCTTTCGTCATGGAAGTTTGGTGTTCTTCTTGCTTCTTGTATATCAATTTTCAGCTCCTTCTTCACGTTTGGGAAGTTCTCTTCAATTATTTCCTTGAATATTTTCTCTGTTCCTACATCTCTCTCCTCTCCTTCTGGGATTCCTATAACTCTTTTATTTCCTTTCCTCATGGAGTCAGATAGTTCCCAAAGTCTTTCTCCGGTCTTTTTCCTTCGTACTTCTCTTTCCTTTTCTGTTTTAGTTCTTTTTATTTCTATGTCTTCAAGAGTACTTATTTGTTCTTCCATTTCATCTATTCTGCTTTCATTGCTTTTCCCAGAGTTCTTTAGCACCTCCGTTAATTCTTTGATCTCCTGCATTTCTTTTACTTCCCTGTTTAGGGACTCAATTTCATCCTTCTGATCGTTAATTATTTTTCCCTTATCATTGTTTTCCTTTATGACTTCTGTCAGTTTTTTAATCACGGCAATTTTAAATTCTCTTTCTGGAAGGCTCAGAAGTTCTTCCAAGTTACTGTCGTTGCAACCTGGTAGGTGGTTTTCTTTTTGTGGTGTGCTTTTTTCCTGAGGAGTTGCTGGGTTGCGTGTGGTTTTTCTACTCCCTACTGCCTGTTTTCTAATTTGCCATATACCTTGGGACACTGTGTTGCTGGTACTGGCCAGCATCTTGGGCGAACTTCCCAGCTCACCTCTGGTTCCGCTGGGAGCCTTCTGCCAGTTTCAAGCAGTCTCTACTGAAGAAAGGTCCCTGTTCTAAAATGACGATGCAAGGGTTGCGCTCCCCTGCATGCCAGGTCTGCCCCGGAGATGGTTGCTTGCTCCCCTCTGGGCTCCGACTGCAGGCCAGAAGGGACCTGGCATGGGCAAGCCTCCCAGCTCACCTCTGGCTCCTCTGGGAGCCTTCTGCTGGTTTCAAGCAGTCTCTACTGAAGAAAGGTCCCTGTTCTAAAATGGCGATGTGGGGGATGCACTCCCCTGCGCACCTGGTCTGCCCCGGCTGTGGGTGCCGCTCTGGTGGTGTATTTTTAAATTAGACCTTGAATTCAATCTTAATCATTGTTGATGTTACTCCATATTTCCCTTAGATGTTTGCCTTTATTTTAAATTATGGAAATTTAACTATCATCCATTCTTTTATTTTATATTTTAAACACTGCATCATTATGTAATGTGACTAAAAAAGAAGTTTTACTGACAAAAGTGATGTTTCAAATAAATAGGTAAAAGATGAGTTTTTGAATATAAGTAGAGCTGGGACAATTGGCTTTCCATTTAGAAAAAAAGTTAAAGTGAAATCCCTACCTCACCTCAATTCACAAACAGAATTTCAAAAACAAGTCTACAACTTTTAGGAGAAAATCTTTGGGATACATAAGCAAGTAGGGGCTCTTAAAAACACAAACAAAGGAAGCATAAACTGTAAAAGAAGAATCAGTACTCTTAGTTTCATTTCACACAAAAAGAAGTAAAATCAACAACTCCCCTCATTTAAATGGAAAACGCCTGTAAGAGAACCCACCATAAACAAAGTAAACAAGCAAGACAGGAATCATCTGGATGATAAAGCTTCCAGATCCCATGTGTCATTCTCTGTAGGGTTTTTTGTCTTATTTATTTGAGGACATGCTTAGATATACTGGACCAAGAACTATGAGCAGAGAAAACCTAGCTGGCCAAAAAAATTATAAAAAATAAGACTTGTCCCTGTTAACAATCATGGCATTTACATTTATGCAAAAATATATCACACACCCAACCAAATAATGTATGTGATAGTTTTCTCTTGTAATTGTTTTTATGTAATACACTTTGATGATGTATTTTTGGGGATGCGTAAACTTTTTTTTATTAGACTTAATTGCCCCTTACTCCTGAGAAGAGATTTTTTTTAAAAGCGTCTCTGTGCTCCATAAGCTATTTTCCATTCATCTAGAATTGATATATGCCATGAATAGTGTCCAAGTAAAGTGCACTTGAAAGGCAGCCTCTTCCCCTCATGAGTCTGTCCACTCACTGCCCTTGGCTGTTACAGCCCCTCACCATGTCCCTTCTTCCAGGTTCCCATCCTCTGAGGGGTCTCAACCCAACCCCTCATTATAACTCTTCCTCATAAGAATATCATTGACTTTCTGGGGAAATGGCTAAGAGCATAATTAAATTTTCAAACCTAAATCTATGTAGATTTAACTGATACTGTATTTGGAAAATTCTACTATGAAAACCTGTTGATACTCTGAAAAAAGATAGAACCTTATGCTGGCCTCCATTACTGAATCCCAAATGCCCCCAATGGGTTAAAATGAATGTGCCCCTCCAGCCCCCCGCCATGGAGTAATGATGTCCTTTCCCTCCGCCTGCAGGTATTTTGCAGAAAGGGATGCTTCAGCAGCTCAACAGGTCCTCTCAGACTCTCTTCATCCAAAATGCAGGTAACTGTAGAAAATCAAAGACAGACTAGGCTTTATGGGTCAGGTAGAATTAGCTTCATCTCCTACCTGGTGTGTAGGAGCATCAGCCCATCAGAAGCAAGGCCACAGAGCTCCTCCTTGAGTCAGAAGACAGACAATAACCTGATGGTGTCACTCATATATGGAATAAAAAGAAACAAAGCAAATGAACAGACAAAACCAAGCCAAAACTAACCCTTGAAATCTAACTGCAGAACTGAGACTACCACAGCTGGTGGGGAGCAAAAAAGGGGGTGGGGGTTACTGGACTAGGGTGGACGACTGTGGTGCATTAGTGGTAAATGTGGTGTGGTAACATGTCTGAAGAGATGTGAACCTGTACCCCTGAGACATATACAGTGTTGTAAGTTAATTACCGTAAAGTAATTTAATGATATAAAAAACAAAACCAGAAAGCTCTTTCAAACAAGCCCTTCTGACAAATACTGTGGGTTAAAACTTCAGGTACAAATTTATTTGGGGATTTAAGATGCAAAGAGGCACTGTTCCAGTGAAATGTGCCTTTTTCTGGGGAGGTTGGGGGCGTGGGTATGGACAGAGGAAAGCAGAATCTGGAAGGAGTTTAGAGACAAGGAGCAGCATCGGAAGCCTAGGAGTGGGGAAGAAGTTATGATGTGAGGGGTCAACTGAGCAAGTCTGGAGTTGCTGAAACTTTTTCTTAATCTAGATTTTAAATTATTTGCATTTTCATTTATCTTTCTAAATTTTTTCTTTAACTGATTACATGAAGTGATATCATTAAAGAGGAAATAAGGTATTTTTCTTTGTTTTTGTGTTTTGTTGCTTTTATTTTATCTTAAACTAAGTATGGGTAAACATTTTTAATATAAATTCATGGAAAATTTTTCAAAAAGCAAACATTTCCCAACTTATTACCTAAGATAACTAACTCTACTGCATTTTAGTAAAGAAAATTTGTTATTTTGCAGTTTGCTTTTGTATCACCTTTTTCTCTTCAGCTTGGTAAATTCATTGTTGTTGTGCATGTTTGCTACATAAATCCAAAATTTTATCATATTAATTAATTTTATCATAATTAATTTTATCATATTAATCTCAATATTCAAAAATAGGTTGACTTTGGGTACCCCCTGCCACCATATTATTATACTTAACTCTAGCTTCACTTGGCTAAGGTTCATTAAATTGAATTATACTTTTATATATTATATAGATTTCTATATTATAAATATACATTTATATAACATATATATCCGTATATATGTTTTATATGTATAAATTATATAAATGTAAATTTATAAGTTTATATCTTTTATAGATTAAATTTTAATTTTTTAACTTTATTTACTTTAAGAAAAACACTTATAATCACTTGCCTCTTTTTTGATAGATAGTTAAAGCAAAGCTATTTTAATTTTTAGCATTTCGTGTTTTCTGAATTGCCTATTTCTATAATGCAAAGAGTCTAAACCCACTCTAATTATTGGCTGAAGAAAATAAATATAATAGAGAAAATTTTTGAAAATTGGCATTTCCTAGAGAAGCATCATCCAGAAGACTTCAACCCTAATGGTCCTTGGAAAGTGACAATATGCTTAAAATATTTTCTGATTATCCATGCAAAGAAGATTAATTTTGTCTATGAGCCATTCCCAAAGAAAGGCTTTATAGTTTTATGTCCCATGTCAGCTGTCAGAGAGGAGGTATGTGAGGATTTGTGTAATTACTCTGAAACCAGCTTGGGGTGTGTATGTGTGTGTGTGTGTGTGTGTGTGTGTGTGTGTGTGTGTAAATAACGTGTAGCCAAAGCTTAGGCTCCGTCCCTCAAGCTATAATAAAACCAACTGGATGAAGTTCAAGTACTAATCACTTCAAATTGATGATAAATGCCACTAAATACAAATCAGAATGTTTTTAAAATTCATCTGTCCTTCACCAATGTCTGTTGATTGGCTGATGCAATTGGCAATTGCACAGGTTCTGTCTGGCCCTGAGTATTTCGGATGTTCAAATCAGAGAAGCCAGCATGTAGTAAGGAAAAATCCTTCCTGTCTGTCCTTCAGCAAGCATCACACATTATTACACTTGTGAACATCCACTGTTGAGTCTAAAAGTCAAATAAAAGATAAAAATAGATTAAAGTTTAAAAGGAGAATTTTGTCTGTTAGGTTTTTTTGTCTATTTGTTTGGGGTTTATTTGTTTGGTGTGTGTGTTTGGGCCAGGATATCCTATAAGTAATAAAATGAGTGGAAGTTGTTTGGCCTTTTCTTATATTTCCAATGCAGAGAGAGATTTAATTTAACAAATATAGACAGGTCTTACCCTAAGACTGCTGGCCTGTGCCTATGCAGGTGTCTCCTTTTCCTAATAAACCTGCCCTTTCAAAATGCAGCCTTTGCCTATCTGTGTCTATGCTGATGTCTTTTTAATTAATAAAATTTCCTTGTAAAAAAATAGACACAGCTGGGCCTCCCTCGTGGCTCAGGCGGTTGAGCGCCGCACTCTGAAGCTCTCCGCAGCCTCTGCAGCGCGGGTTCGATCCCGGCTGGCCAGTGAGAATCCCACATGGTGCGCAGACCTCTCCTGTCTCGCCCGCTGCTCCCCTCAGCAATGTTTCGTCAGTCTGCCTGTTCTGTTCCCTGCTGTCTCTGGTGAATCTTCTTGCCTTCTTGCGCATCTGGCCTGTACCCCAGCTCTTGTATAAAAATAAATAAATCTTTAAAAAAAAAATAGACACTATGTATTTATAAAGATCTGTTGAAGGGAAAGTAGGTGCTTGCAAATTCATTTATATAGTTTCTTAATTTTCATACCTAACTCATTTTAGTTTGGATCTGAGCTTTTTCAGGTAAAATCCTCTTTGGCTGGTTGGTTGTTAGTTGACTGTTGCACTTTAAAAAGAAGTGGATGTTTTGGGGTTTTTTTTTTTTTTTGCTTTTTTTTTTAAAGATTTATTTATTTATGCATACAAGAACTGGGGTACAGGCCAGAGGTGTCAGGGAGGGGGGGGTGCGGGGGTGAGAGGATTCACCGGAGACAGAGCAGGGAGCAGAACAGGCAGACTTACTGAAATACACTGTTGAGGGGAGCAGCGGGCGAGGCAGGAGAGGTCTGCTGCACCATGTGTGTAGTTCCCTGGCCAGCCGAGGAATCAAACTCATGCTGCAGAGGCTGTGGATAGCTTCACAATGCTGTGCTTAACCTCTTGCACCACCAGGGAGGCCCGAGTGGTTGTTTTAATATGAATACAGGTAGTGACTGTGAATTATAGCCAGTCATGTAGAAACATCACATCTTTGTGTCTGTGCTGTGTCTCCTGTGTGTCTTGTAGTATAGCATGTGCAGTGTATTTATAGAGAATGCTCCTTTTTCCACTTAGGTGGAAGCTGAATGTTTGGATAACTCTAGTTAATTTTTTTTTAAGATTTATTTATTTATTTATGCAAGCACTGGGTACAGTCAGAAGCGCAGGAGGGTGAGAGAATTCACCGAGCCAGAGCGGGGAGCAGAACAGGCAGAAGGACCTAAGTACACTGCTGAGGGGAGCAGCGGGCGGCAGGAGAGGTCTGCTCACCATGTGGGACCCTCCTCCAGTGGCCAGGGAGCAGTCAGGGATCAAACCGGCGCTGCAGAGACTGCGGGCAGCTTTGCAACCCAGCGCTCACCCTCTGCACCACTGGGGAGGCCCTCTAGTTAATTTTTTATTTAATTCAAATGCTAGCCCCAGTTTTCGTGTAAAATGCTGAGTGAAAGTTACATCAACCATAAAGAAGAATGGAACTTGGTTCCTGCCTAGGAGATGTTGGCAAGATGGAGAGGGGATAAGCTAGCATCTCCAAAATAGAATGCCAGGCAGTAGTATTTCCAGAGCATATTTATGACAGAGCCCTTTCTTTCATCAGTCATATCCAGACGCTCTCATGATGAAACAGATTAAAGTGGAATTGCTGTGGTTTATCTGTTTTAGCTTAGTCAAGAAGCACTTAGCATTTGTTAAAACAGAAATTTTAAAATCTTTATATCTTCTCTCCCTTCCCTTCTTTCCCTCCCTCCTTCCCTCCCTCCCTCCTCTCCTTTCTTTCACTTATTCAATCATTTTGTTATCAGAGAACATTTATTTGGCATCTCTTGTGTTCTAGACTTCACACATGAGTAGCATAAATGCCATGAAGTAAAACCAGATGTAATGCAGTGAGGAACCATGAGAACAAGGCAGCATCTAGAGAGAGCAAGCAGGCAGGTTTCATGGAGGAAGTACCAGATAATGATAGCTGTGTAATATTCTCTTAGTGTTTGGCCCTTATGACTGTCTCCCTCTGCTGTGCAAACGTGAAAGGGGGCTAAGTAGCGTTAAATGTTCTTTAATAATTTTAGTTCTCATTTCCATATAACTTGTATTTTGGCATTTTAATTAATAGCATTTAAAAAGATTAGTTGTTGAGTTATAGACATATCTGCATCTGCATACTTTTAACATAAACATTATTAAGAACAAGTACCAATTAGACAATAAATCTTGTTTATTCACTCATGTAGCAAATTCAGCAAAGCAGAATGGGAGAAGAAAAGGATGGATAAAGCAATTGGGTGAGTGTGGAATTTCATATATAATGGTGGTGAGTCTGAATCAGAACTAGAACAAAGATCATCATTTTTCAAAATGCTAATTTCCTGTGACAGACATAAGTTCTGTGGTTTTCACTTTACAGGTACTCGTTTGCCATTGTGGGCATCAATATAACTGATCTGGCATATAATCTCCTGGTGAGCGGAGCTCTGAAAACTCATTTCTACAACATCGCCCCAGAAGCTCCAACATTGTCTCATTTCCAACAGACGTTCTGTAAGTGTCCTGTTGCTTAAGTATTGATAAAAGTTTCTATAGGTCAATGTAGACAAGGGTCAGAGCTGAGAGAGGTTTGTGATTTGGCTACTTTGGGATCTAAACTTCCTGCTTTGGTTTTGATTTTCTTGTTGGATGGATGGATGGATGAGACACTAAAATATTGGATGACATCCTTTGTGGGAGAAGGAATCATTTTGGGAATTCTTATATCTGAATGCTAAGAGTGCCAGTGAAAATAACAATGAGGCTAAGCAGAGGAAATCACAGAGATAAATCAAGAAAAATACACAGAACTAAAGCATGAGTGTTCATATGTAGCTAGTAACCAGGAAGCATGGTATCATAAAATAGACTTACTCCAAGGTACATATCATTATGAAATCTTATGACACTGGATTAAGATGATCTTAAAAAATTCCAGAGATATCATAAAAAATTGGGAACCAGGGTGATATCATACTTCTTAACAACATCTTTGTATTCTAGCATAGTGAAATTATATATTTAAACATTAAAAAGTTTTATAAATCTAAAGGAATGTGATTTCCAATTTAGAATTCTAAGGAAATTTAGAATTCTAAATTTAACTAAATTTCCAATTTAGAATTTAAGGGAATGTGATTTCCAATTTAGAATTCTATACCCATTCAAGCTTAACAATTAAGTGTGGCAGTTGAGTAAAGACATTTAAAGGCATTGTCTTAAACATTTTACCTTCTTGTGCCTTTATTAAGAAGTTCCTGAAGAATATGTTTCCATAAAATAATAGAGTAATCTTAGAAGGAATAAGTGGGCTCTAGAAAGCAGGTAATCTGCTACAGGAGAGAATTGAAGGTGGAGATAGACCAAGATGATATCTATGCAATAGGATGAGAATAATAAAACCAGTTTTCAGCAAATCAGAAGGCTCAGGGAGAAGACTCTGAAGGATGTGACTTTGTTGAAATGCTGACCATATTTCAATAGATGGAGGGATACTAGCATGCTTAGGTTATAGTTTAGGATTACATTAAGTGGAAACTAAACAAATGAAGAGGAAAGTTATTAATACTAGAGAAAAAAAATTGTTACAAAATATGTGTTAATGTGGTTGAGATGGATAAAAGAGAACTAATACCTTATCTTCTACAAAAGGAAGTGTTTAAAAATCAAATCTGGAAAGCATGTTACTAAAAGCTATGAAGGTCAGTAATCAAAAGAATCAGCTGTAAGAGTTGAAATGTGACTTTAGAAAAGCAGGAATTAGGGCAGTAGGTGTTGCTGGGTATTTTTGTTTGTTGCAGCAAAAAGTTGTTAAACTATTTAAATAGTATGCCTGTAAAACAAAAAAATTAAAAAGTAAATATAAAAGCACATGCATTTTATGATTTGTCAGTGGAACATGTAAGTTCTTTGTGTGTGTTATTATAGCTCCTACTTTGGTGATGAGATGATTATATTTTTCCTGTAACAACTCTGATATCTCCAGCAGATTTAATGAGATTTTACTATACACCAGATACTATGCTAAGGAAGAAACATATCTATACAAAAAATTAAAAGGTAGTGGGAATGATATTATGATTGAGGAAATAAAGATATTGTTTTTTTAAAAAAAAACTAAGACAGCCTATGAATGTTACAGTTCACTCAGCCCAAAAGTCAAGGAAAATTTCCCAAAGCAGTGCCACTTTCAATGAGACCTAAAGGGTGAGTGGCAAGAAATAAAGCAACATGGTCTAGTGGTCCAACCAGAGGGAGTGGATGGGCAAGGCCCCAAGACAAAGGACTTGGAAGAGCCAAGGAATGAAGCCTGGATTGGGAGGGAGGGACTGGAGATGACAGCAGTAAGAGCAAGGGCAGATGATGGCTCGGGGGTATCTTGAAGAGTTTTGTAAGCCACTTGAAAAACATAAATGTGAATAAGACCTTTTTGTATATTTCCCAAGCCCTTGTCCTGGCCCTATTCTGTATTGACCATGCTCTTTAGGGAAACAAGAAGTTGTTTTAAGGGAAAATAGAATGAGATTAGTCTTTTAGGCATACAAAGATGAGTTCTCTTTGGGAACCTCAGGTGGAACTGCATAGTAGGCGTGTTAATGTACTACTCTGAAGGTTTGGACTTATTATACTGATGAGAAAACCAGAATCACACTGTGGGAAGCTCTCCCAGGACAAATCAAAGTTAGAATCATAGCTGTTTGTTTTGTTCACCTCTGTCTCCTCAGCACAGAGCCTGGTACAATAGACATTGAATATCTCTCTATTGAACGAAGGGCTGGATAGAGGGATTGTGGGAGTGAGGAGATAAATGGATGGGTGGGAGGCTAAAATAGAAAATGATGTCCTTTGTGGGAGAGTCTAGTTTCTCTGGAAAAATTTAGCCTTGGCCTGAATTGATAGGTTTCCAAGGACCCTAGTGAGTAGGCAGGCAATAGGAGCATTTCTTACCCAAGGCCCTCACCAGGTTTTGGAAACAAGAGCAATCCCCTATAGATTAAGATATCAGCAGAGGGACTCTGGTCTCTTTAGAAGAAGCAAGATGTGCCCTGGATTGATTGTTCCTTCATCCAATATGGTCAGCTCTGCACGTCTCCTCTGTAGTTCTCTTGCAATTACCTGAGTCCTGGCATATGTCTCTGCTGTCTAATAACTGAATGCACTGAAGCAAAACCAAGACACATTCAAGCAACAACAAATATGCCACATGGTTGGGCTGCAACAAATATGCCAAGTTAATATTCAAAACATATATTTCATTTAGGGGAAAGCATACAAGGTTATAATAGCTCTATCCTTCTGACTTTACAGTATTATTCAGTCAACATTGCACTGCCATGGCAGAATGCTATAAAAATCACATCCAATCTAAAGCTCCACTGAGCATCCAGTTCCAGTGAAATGGAGTAAAGTTAGGTGTCAGGAATTGAAGGAAAGTACAAAGTCCAGAAGAGCAGAAAGAATTCTCTTTTCTGTGACCTTCAAAGAAGAACATATTCAGTAGAAATAAGAATGTACAGAGGAAGAGTGTACACTGGAAAAAACAACTGGTACAACAGTGGAAAGTGTGCTGCTTTTGGTCTTGGCTTACAGCTTTGGGTTGTAATGGTGTGATTGATTGTACTCCGATCTAGTGTTTATCTGTGCCTCATTCCCTCACTGCAAAATGGAGGTGTATTTGCATCACCTATCCCACAGAGCTGCTGTAAGAATTAAAGGAGAGACTGCAGTGATAGCCTGGTCTCCTCTAAGTCTGTTTTCCCTTTTTCTTTGCCCCCACCCTCACTTCCATAGCTAACCAACCAACAGATGGAATTATTAACCCAGGTCTCTCTTTCTAAGAGCCCAAGGACTGGGAAACAGTGGGACTTTACCTTTTTCTTGCATCCTCAGTAACTAATACTGTATTGGTTACATATTTGTTAATTGGTAGATGGATCCACTGACCAAGTGACAGTGGATTTTGAACACTGTGCCATTTTATATAAGTGAGTGGAGTTTTCAGATTATAACTCGTACCCTGGAAGCCAAACGGCATTTGAGAATTTTGAGTATAATCATGTCACATGGTCTCTATTTTCCTGATGGGATAGAGAAAGAAAGTCTCAGGAAATCTGCTCATAAGCTTGACAACATGACTTTTTCAGCCTTAAGGAGAAGGATCCTGAGAACGGAGTAGGGAACCACTTCTACCCTTGTTCTAATTTGTCTGTTAAAACTTTCAAAATGTTTTTCTGTAATTGTAAGGTAGAAGGACAGGGAAACCAAGTGGATCCACATTCTTGTAGAATTCTGTGCTCTACTTGATCACCTTTAGAGTGAGCCGCTGATATATCTGCACATTGTAGAAAACTACGCTTTTAAGTACCTTGTGGAAAGGAAATTCTTCATTAAAAGATGCTTTTCCACAATGTCTGTTTATCATTGTCAATATGAGTTTGAGTAAAGATCTTACCACTCATAACATGCTATTAAGGTATTTTTAATTCATCACAGATGCTTTTAATTCACAGCTTTGGAAACTTGGTTCTATAGACAAGAGAGCTTAGTGTATATATTTGAACTCAGAGACCACGTCAGGAAAAATATGTGTATGCTATATAGTAAGGAAAGAAGAAATTATAAACACTCAGATTCTGCAGTTAGAACCATAAAAATTATAACATTTAGAAAGAAGTCAAGAGAATTGAAAAAGAGCGCCTCTGCTAAACTTCAGTGACAGGAGTCGTCTTTCTGAATTGCAGAGTGTGAATCTGGAAGGGCAGGCACATTTAACAGGGGCTCCACACCATTCCTGGGACACTTCAGTAGTTTATTCAGTCACTGGGATGACTAGATGGTTGAATTCTTTTGAGTGAATAGGATACTGAGATTAGAAGAAGCAGGTTCTTTTAGGCACCCTCCAATACACCAGGATGATAAACAGATGCCCCATGGTGGATAAGTGGTGAGGAATTGGGATGCTTAAGCTGAAAGAGATAAGCTTAGAGAATAAAGGTCACTTCAGACACTTGAGTTGGAGAAGGACTGAATAAATTCCATGAAATACAGGTAACATTTTTTGACCCCTTAGGAGGAAGAACCTCTTGGGAATCAAGTTATTCCTCCATGGACCTGGGTTAGGTCAGCGTTTCCAGGACAGTTCAAGGCAGACAGGCCTCGGGGAATGCAAACATGGGATGGAGCAGAGACAGAGAGAATGGCTCCTGGGATCACTGATCTACTAACCTGGGGTCTTGCTGATGGGGTCAGGTCCCTTAATAGTGGCTGTGGGTCATGTAGGGCTTGTGGAGCCCAGAGGTTATATGGTGAGGAGGTTTTGTGGCTCCATCAGAGGTGATCAAAACAGCCACATCATCAGTTAATACATATGGACCCAAAGTCAATTCAGTCCTAAAAGAAATGGAATAGTCAACCCAAAAGAACTGGAAAATAAATTATTTTATTACTGCTAATGGTTGTACCTTCATCCTTAACAATGTTGTGAGGCAAGTAATTAGAGAAGTGAGTTTGTAGACGTGAACCAACACCTGAGTGGGGAGGAAGATTGCTTCTCATTTTTTCTTATAGTGCAATATGATCAATAATTTTAAAATATCTGCTTATGGAACTACGTTGAAGGTTTTCCTATCAGTAGCTTTTCTCCAGAAAAACCAAACCTGTTGAATTTTTTTTTAACTATTAGAAGCAAGTATGTTTGTGGCAAACTCTCTTTCCATGCTCCCATCACCTCTGCTGCTCACACCGTCTCATGGAGGTGAAAGAGCTGGGATTCAAACCAGGTTTCTGGCTCAAACTTTTTGCTGCTAATTATTCTGTTTCCTTCTATTGTTAAGACAAAAAAAAAAAACCACTTGTGTAATGTTTGGTGTTTGGTTTCCTTTTTGTTAACTAAGATTCCGTAAATAATTTTTTCTACATATCTAGAGATATGTGGTGTTGCAATGGGTTTACTACATACAAATATCCAGTGTTGTCTTTTTTAAAAATTTTTCACATTTCGGCTCTTATGTGTGGTAGAGGGAAGGAGAAAGGTGGACAACCAGAACACCATGAATAGGTTCTGTATCAAATCTTAACATTGGTTCCAGAAATTTACCCAATCCAAATCATTCATAGGTAACATTTTTAAGTCATAGAAGTATTGGAAAATGAAATTATGCATCAGAGCAAAGTCTTATTAATAATTTCATGTCATTTAATGACCAGTCCAAGTTGTTCAGACGTGATTCATAACTGATGATCTCATAATAGTTCATCAGAACACATTTGTTTAACTTGTCAAGTTAATTGAAAACTCCAGTCAAATCAAATATTGGAGTAATGTAGAAAATTCAGACCATCCTGTTAATTTAATGAGGAAGAGAAAGATGAAGCAATCATTGTCAGCCTCTCAGAATATGTTCCCAAATGTGGCTCACATTTAAAAGATTGCAGGATTGATTTTTCTTCCTGCTTGAGAAGAGTCAGAATAATTTCAGAACCAATTGCAAATATCTTGCAGATTGGTTAACTTTTACTGCTCTGATTTTAAAGAATCATCTTAAACAATAGTACCGGCTGTGTTTTGATCTCTTCTTTGATCTCCTTGTTATAGCATCTTTTGGCATTCTGGGTGAGTTCGAATGTGATTAGGGACCATTCTTCCTTCTGCGTTATCACTGTCTTATCTCCAACAGGCTATTTGATGCATGAGTTTCATAAGTTTTGGATTGAAGAAGACCCCATGGACATAATGGAATTTAATCGTGTGCGGGAGAAATTCCGCAAGAGGATCATAAAACAGCTGCAGAACCCAAACATGGCACTGTGCCCACACTTTGCTGCCTCGGAAGGTTTACTCAACATGTAGTCACCCACGCTGGTTTAATGGACCCCCCTAGAACACTGCCTCATTGTTGTGTTAGATCTCTGCTTAGGTCCCAGCTCACTGAATGCACACAGCGGTTGTATGCATGGCTTTTGGTGCAGTATTTTCATCTTTTGGTCGTAATTACCAGATCCCCAGATACCACTATTTCTGGAGTATCTGCCATCCTGTAACTGCTCATATTGTGGCATTATGCAGTGTTACATCTTGCCTTGACACCCAGGTATGGAAAGAGTTTTCTATTTTTTTAGATTGTTTTCCTTCCCCTCATCATTCAGCATTAAAGAACTGTATTTCTCTAGCTGTATTTTGTATGTAAGAGATTGAGCTGAATCTTGTTCTGTGAAAGCCTTTTAATTTATTGATAGGTTCCATCACTACCACTGCTAGCTTTTCAAGCCAGGTTCATGCTTGGACCGCATTCCAATAAAGTATCAGACTTTAAGATAATAAAGACAGACACATGATAAGCCAAACCATTCCAGCAGACAGCTGTGCTTCATAAAAATGTAATAAAAATGTAACGAGGCTTACAAGGAGCAATGTGGGTAGGTGCTGTTTTGTTTGAAGTACCCCAGAATTATATTGTAGTTTATACCTCTTTCCTCCCCCATTGCAATCGTGTCAGAGTCATCTGGATAACAAATAACTTTATTCCCATAATTTCACTAGCTTGGATGCCTAAATATGTTAGTCATGCTTGGAGCCTCAGAAAAGGAATAAGCATACTTCCCAAGCTGCAAAAGGTTTTTCACTGCCTGCCTCTGGTTAAACTCAGAGCCGCCCCCAGCACTGTTCTGATCCAGGCATCTCTGCTTGGGGAACTGAGTGCTGACTGCTTTGCTTTCTCTCTCAAGATGCAACATTAAAAAACAATCTGCAAGAAAATGTGTTGCAAGAGAGGAACCTCAGCTATGATGTTCTTCAATACTCCTTGGAATTGCTGACCTTGTCTTGTATCCATGGGAGAAGTAAGTGGCTTGAAGGAGGAAAAAATCCAATCATTCCAAAACCGCTAAACATCATTGAAAAACCATGATTTTGTTTGGAATTATGATTGTAGTCTGTTGAATAGTATTTACCATGGCATTTCATACCCATGGTATTTTATACCTTCTGACTATCGATTTTAGTATTACTAGACATTTGTGTAATCAACTGCTTATTTATCTGAATTTTGAGTACTGCCTAACTGTCAGTTATATGAATAAAGTACATGTCATTCTACTCTAACATAGTGTGGATTTCATTGTAATATTTAGCTCCTACAGCTTTGGAATATGCAAATATGTGAGTGGGTAGAATGTCAAAGACAGACAACCTGGACTTGCATCTAAATCACACCATCATTCTGAGTCACCAGGTGTAAATTAGTGTGTCATGTCTGAGAGACTTCTTTCATTTAACTAAACTTGAAGGCCTAGTGGTGCTTTAATCATGGTATAAGAGCCAACTTTTTCTTTCTAACACCCTGCAAGGCCTGGTTTGTTTACTGCCAGCAGCTGATAAAAGCGTCAGCTGCTGACTGTGTCCTGGTTCATTTGAGCTCCCCTGGGGTTTTTCTATCCTTTTCTTTACAGCCGGGTATCAAGGGCAACATTTTGCATTGAGTCCATGACAACCTGGTGCCCTTTCTTAGGGAACTACCCAGTAATGACAAGAATAGACATTTCCCTCCAGAGGAAGTGAGAACTCGTCAACCTGGTAAATGGCCTGTCTCGGGAGCTCTGAATTTCTACCACAGCCACAGCTGCCATGGAGAAGGGTGTTATTCCGCAGGCAGTGCAGCCTTTGTCAGGACAAGTGTGCATTGTCGCTTCCTATCCACCTCCCTGGTCTACTGACATGGCTGGATAGTATATGGCGTTTACACCAGCTCACATCTGTTCTGTTCAGGTAGAGATAATTGATGGAAACAAAGCTGGGAGTTTTCCCTCTGGCTCCTTGCATGATTTCTCTGTTGAACATGGCTACACAATTTTAGGAGGAACAAACTCTGCCAGCTCCCTCTAGTTCTGAGTATTATTAGATTTCGTGTTCACACCTCTTTGGGAAAGATGCATTCTACCCAGTAGCTTGAAGTGAGGTGAGAAAAAGAAGAGAGTTCAAAAGCATAATAATGTGTGATGTGTGTGTTTCCCTTGAGCGTTCTTCACTTGCCTGTACTCTTCCGCTGAACAAGGATGGACCGATTAAAATGTAAATGATACAGCAAGCCAAAACCCAGTCCAGTCTGCACCTCTACGAGAAAACTCTTTCAGGCATTCCTTTCTGAAAATTATGATTTCAACCTGACTTTGCTTTTCACAAGTCTTGTTATGTACTGAAAAAATATTCTTTGCCTGGTCGCCCACCATCTCATCTATTTGAAATGAAGTTTAAATATATACCAAACCTAAAAGATAAGATGACCTTACAATGTATCTTTCAAATCCAAACACTTTAGAGAGAGAAAGAGGGTGTTGTTAATTTCTTTAGGACTACAGGATTGAGGAAACTGAGATGGTAGGTGACTAAGAGCAAGAGACAAACATAAATGGGGTGGTCCATAGACAATTCGACAAATGCAACTGAATTCCTCACTGGCCTGTGGCAGGAGAAATACATAAGCAGGACATAGACATTTGAGATCTAGGATATGACACAAGGACCCATCAGAGGTATGTCCTTGGTCTGAGCTCGATTGCAGCTGAATAATCTGGGCTATAAAACCTGGCAGTCAAACTCCATGTCCACAATAAACACATGGGATCAAATCTAAACTGAATGGAATGAGAAGGGAATCATTTGGTGTAGTGTGGGACCAGGGATGGGAGATGAGAGAGGGACACAGACAAAAAGGAAAGGGTCTGCTAGGCCTACGGCCACACCTAGGAAACTCTGAGACCCTAGAAACACATGTTCTCTCTAAACCATGCCTCTCACACCTCAGCTCAGCCTAAATAACTGCTCTAAACTAGAAAAAAAAAATGGTAGAAAAATCACACCTAAGTATAACATCAAGTCCTAGAGGATGAGAGAGTCTGGTATGGGTTTCATTTCAGAGCGAACAGTGAGTGCCTGCACCTTTTACAGGATTGTGCAAATCCTTCCTTACAATGTTTTATCTTCTCCCCTACATCCAAAATGACATTTTTTGCTTGTTTATTTTTTTAGACAAACAGGCTAAGAGAATTTAAATATATTAGAGAAAAAAAAACAATGAGTTATCACCCCACACTTGACAGAATGGCTATTATCAAAAAGACAAAAAATTAGCAAGTGTTGACAAGATTTTGGAGAAAGGGGGGCCCTTGTGCACACTTGGTGAGAATGTAAATTAGTGCAGCCACTGTGGAAAACAGTACGGATGTTCCTCAAATATTAAAAGCAACAATATCATATGATCCAGCAATTTCACTTCTGGATCATATTCAAAGAAAATGAAAACACTCAAAAGAGACCTGTATTTATTCAAAGAAAATGAAAACACTCAAAATATATCTATACCTGCTCCCCAGGTTTATTGCAGCAGCATTTAAAACAGCCAAGACATGGAAGCAACCTAAGTAATTGGTTGGATGTTGGGATAAAGAAAACGGGGTATGTATATACAATGGGATAGCACTCAGTCATAAAAAGGAAAGACATTTTGCCATTTGTGACATGGATGGTCCTTGAGAACATTATGCTGAGTGAAGTAAATCAAAGACAAGTACCATATGGTCTTTGTAGAACTTAAACAAACAAAATAAATTTCAAACTCATAGATACAGAGAACAAACTGGTGGTTGCCAGAGGTGAAGGGTTGGGGGGGGTGGAGGAGAAAAAATCAGGTGAAGGTAATCAATGGTAAAAAACTAAAATAAAAAAGAACTGGTATAACTAAACCTTGAACCAAGGGCCTTAAGCCTAGACTTTTAATTATTTATGCTATGTGACCAATTGGAATTCTTCTCCACTGTTCAGGAGAATGGTGGATTCTAAACATACACTCATATCCTACATACACTCATTATCCCCAAGGGATAATGCCACTTTTTGTATCTGTAGGGTGAATTTCTACATGAATATCACAGATAACACTGTATTGTCCCTCAGGACTTCCCATAATTTTGGTAAGAATTTCTCCCTGGACACACAAAGAATAGTTCTGGCAGGTTTGAGTTCAGGGGACCGCCTTCCCCTAGGACAAGCTTGAAAGCACTTGACAAGGGTGAGCTGTCTGATGAGACCACTTTGTAGAGCCAGGCAGTGTGCACCCTGCTACCAGCCTATAGGGCCTGTGGGGGCCTGTGGGGCCTGTGGGGTACCAGTGGCCAGGGTTCTGCAGGCCTGGGGGAGGAAATATCTGGCCCTCAGGGAAGCTCAACCCCTTCTGCTAGGATGGTGACTTCAGGCACAGTTGGCTCCTCCCAGCAGCCCAGGGGGCGCTGGTGAATTGTATTTGGACAAACCTCTACCTGTCACCCCTGCAGAGATATTTTGGAGATAATGGTATTAGTTCCTCTGAGCCAAATATGTAGCAATTACAGGGGAAAAGGGACGACAGCAGCCTCAAGCTGTAGGATACCAGGAGTTATGTGGTCCACAGTGGGTGGAGTTTTTTATGTGGTCCACAGTGGGTGGAGTTTTTTACAGCAAGAAAAATCTTGCTGTCAAGGGACCCTGCTGCTATGTATGTGCTTCCTTAGGCAGATGACTTCCCCTCCCTGATGTGACTTTTGCCATCTATAATGAAAAAATAATGACAGCTCCTCTTCAGAGGATTATAGTAAAGTAAAAATCAAATAAGCTATCATTAATTGAAGTGCTCGGGAAGTGCCAAAGTGGTTTTCATCCATGTGGGTTTTAGCTGTGAACTTACTTTAAGAGAAAATTGGGCTACAAAATTGGTATTTGTCATCATGGTCCCCCATTCATTCAATTCTGGGGATATTTTTTGAGAACTTACTTCTATGCCATGCTTCAGGCCAAGTCTGAAGATAAAATGGGGAACAAGACGGTGACCTTGGTCACATGGACCTCATCATCTAAATCTTGTGCCTCAAGTCCAGGCTTCATGGCTGGTGACGTGCACATTTAGAAAAGAATCATCCCAACTCTTCTCGGCTGGATCTACTGACCGAAAATCTTTATCTGAGCACTGTCCCCGCATGACTAGTGTGCGCATTAAAGTTTGAGAAGCACAACCCAGGGGCATATTGATCTGAGTTGGTCTCTCTCCACTGGAACTGGAAATGGCTTAGTCTCGACTATTAATGGTTTCAAAATATCTTAAACATCCCCTTTGTTTTCCCTCAACTTACTCTGTCACTGAAACTTGTCCCTGTGGCCACCACTAACAAGGAAGGCTTGTATGTCCTTTTGTCACCCACACAGAGGCAAGCAGGGGCTTGGAAGGACAGGAGATTTGTGCCTCCCCCAAATTCAGATGTTAAATCCAAACCCTGTGGGATGGTGTTAGGAGGTGAGGACCTTTGGGAGGTGACTTGTCGTCATGATGAGATTAGCACTTTATTTCTCCCTCCCTCTATTCCTCCTTCCCTCCCTCTCTGCCATGAGGGGCTACAAGGAGAAGCTGGTGATCTACAAACTAAGATAAGTGCCCTCACCAGATACCTAATCTACTGGCACCTTGATCTTGGACATCCCAGCTTCAAGAATCTTGAGAAAGAAATGTTTGTTGTATAAGCCACTCAATCCATGGTATTTTGTTTAAACATCAACTTGAACATAGGTGTCAGGATGGTCTGCCCTCCCACCTCAAATGATTTTTTTTACTATTTTTTTTTTTTAAGAAAAAAGTAAAACAAACAACTAAGACAAAACATCTACTACCATCTATTATACTCTGTCTGTCTCCTTGGTCCCACCCACAACCTGCTTCACAAACTTTGGTAACCTCAGTTCTGTTATCAATGTCCACTGGTTTATTTTTATTTTGTTTGGCCTGTTCATTTGCTTTGTTTCCTTATATTGCATATGTGGGTGATATCATCCAATATTTGTCTTTCTTTGTAATTTTGCTTTGCGTAAAATCCTCTCAAGCGCCTTCCTTTTTGCTGCAAATCGCAAAATTTCATCTTTCCTTATAATAGAACATTTATCCAGTCATCTGTCAGTGGGCACTTATTTTGCTTCCACATCTCAGCTATTGTGATTCAAATGATTCTTGAAATGCTTCTATGGAGGCCAAGGCTGGTGCTGCCCCATAGGCACTGCACTGCCATCTCAAGGA